GTGGGCAGCAGAGTGGGACTTGACCCCAGGCCATGTAGCTCCGGGGGCCTGGCTCCTAGCCCACCAGGATGGACAAGCTGTGATGTGCTGCAGCAGCGCCCCCTACAGATGGCGTGTGTGAAGTGCCACCAGACTTCAGCTTTCCTCCCACCCAAGTTAATACCCAGATGCCTCAGGACACGCTGGGTCCCCAGCCCCTTGCACTCCAACTACAGCCTACAGGCCCTTCGCTTTCCCTGGACTTGGCCTGCCAAGGTCGACCTTGTCCACACCGATCCATGGCCCTGCCTGAAGCAGCAGGCCAAGATGTGACCGGCTTTCACTAAACATCCCAAGTCAATTGGTAAAATCGCCAGAAACAAAAATCCAGCCATCACATAATAACCACACCCTGTCACTCTGTTTGGAAAACTGCTGGCCCAACTTTAGGCTCTCAGGGTTCCCAACCGGCTTTGCAGACAGGAAAGGGAGGGGGCTGCTCACCAAATCCTTTGCACCCCAGGTCCCAGAGCACATGTGAGGAGGGAACAATCCCTTGCTGTCTAGTAGGTCCTTAGTTGTCACATTTTGCTTACATCAACAAACTACAAGGTGTTTCCCTATGCCAAGTATCAAGGGAGGTAAGATACCATCTTTGCAGGGAGGGTCGACGACTAGATTACCTCCCACAACTCCTAGCACTGCCTGGATAGTGCCGCGAACCGCCCAGGGCAAGGGGGTGGGGTGGACATGAAGCACTGCTGCGCTAGGCCTGGGAAGGACCGGGGAAGGCTGCAGGCAGGGCGACCCGGGCCTGAGGAGCAGGCGCGGTGCAGCCTGACAGCGGCAAGCAGGGCCAGATACACCTGCCAAAGTGCGGGACAGCGGCACACCCCTCATTCCTAGGACCAGACCCACCGACCGATGTAACAGCTCCGACTCGCTGCCACCTGGGCCAACTGGGGCTTTAACCACAGTGCTTCCTGTGCTCCCAGCATCTTCCTGTGGTGACACAGTGCCCAGCAGAAAGCAGGTGGAAGTGAGGGCTTGTTACAGGGCAACTGCAAGCAATGGGGTGGGGAGGCTTCGCCATTCGTGTCTTGGGACACAAGCCATCAGGAGCCTCCTCCTCCACTCTGCAGTGGCTAACGTGTTCAAGGGGACAGGCCGTGGTCCATGCCACTTACCCTCAGGCAGTTCGGAAAAAAAGTGTGCGTGGCCATACACACACACACACACACAAGTGCACACATGGGGGATAAGGCAGATAAAGGAAAACGTTAAAAACACCTAAGTCTGGGTAGAGGATATGAGGGTGTCTCTGCACTAATTTTATTCTTGCAGCTTTTCTGTATGTTTGAAATTATTTCCAAACAAAAGGTTTCTTTATTAAAAAAAAATCCAGTAGCTTGTGAGGCTGGAAAGTATTCCAACTAAACAAAAGGAAACTGTGAAGCACGAAGCCCAGTCTGCCCGTGGGGCAAGCCCGACAGCAACATGGGGGGGCTTCGAAGGAAAGCCCTCTCAACTCAGGAGGCACCTCGCAAGCCCAGGTGCAAGCTCAACTTTCCAGCTCTTCTATGGACTTCAACCATGTCTGCTTGTAAAATAGCCACACTCTTCCTAGTCATGAACCCTTGTGCTGCTCCAGAGGCCACTTGTCAGCTCACTGAGGATTTATTAGCTCAGCATAGCCAACGGGCCCCTCCAGGTCCCTGACGGCGAAGGGGACAGAACCCCGAACTAGGAGCCAGCTCACCTGGATCTGCATCCCAGCTATTCTGCTCACCAGACCTCAGACAAGCCACTTGCCTCTCCAGCCAGCCTTCCCCAGAGCACCAGGAAGACACCTCCAGTCCTGAGACCTCATCAGGCAGCCAGCAACCTAAGCTGAGACAGCACTCACTTTGGGGGGCAAGTGTTTTCTCAGCCATGTTGGGGGAGAGGGAATCACCCTGCACAGAGCTGTGGCTAACAGTAAAGCACGATTTTCTTTCATTATTGAAGCCACAAAAACACAGCTTTAGAATCAGCAACTGCTGCTGCATTCCCTGCATAGACAAAGGGTCAATAGGCTGATCTTGCAGTTAGTGGCCCTCAATGTTCCTCTACATTTGTTATCCATCAGCAGAGGCCCCAGTCTTTCAGTCCCACCACAGTACACACCATCGCTGGTCATTATGGCTGACCACAGAAGGGATTTGGGGGCAGGCTACTTCTAACCCTCAGCCTATTCAGATGGAATAAAGTTCTGCACCCTCACCTGGACAACCACGTCTCACAGGGGAAGGGAGGTGGCCTGGAGCACCACAGCTGGCTTGAGGGTGGCCAGGGCAGACCATGCACAGCTGCAGTGGAAAGAGCCGTGGCCAAGGATGCATGACAGGAGATGGGCAAACTTCCCACACTGGAATCTCACCTCAGCCTATGCGCTTCATGAACTCTCTGCATTTCAGCTTCTCCATCTGTGAAATGGGGCTACTAACGGTATCAACTTCACAAGGACCACCTACAAGTTAAATTAATCAATACACCTTAGTGCTAGGACAGCGCCTGGCACGTAACACACCCTCAAACAACCAGGAGCAAATTGCAGTTCAAAGAAACTACAGTGGACGGTCAAGTTCAGCACTCTCACGTTGCCCCGAGTCTGTGAAAAGTTCGAGCCCCTGGCCTGCATCAGAGAAGACCCCAAAGTCGCTTGGCCCCAGTAGTCAGGTGTCCACCTGGCAGAAATCAGGAGTCCCTGCCTCGTGGGAAGCAGGTTCTGCCCGGTGCCTTCCTCACATCCAAGTATGGGTCTGAGCCAGGACTCTGACAGAAACAATGCAGGCCAGGGCCAGAGAAGGCCCTACTCAGAAGAGCCAGCCAGCAGACTCCTGCCTGGAAGGACACAAGAGCACACACAAGAACCAGTGGCCCACAGTGAGTCCCACCCTCCATGCCCAGTCAGTATCAGGGAACCAGATGGAGCCCCCCAGGTTTTGCAGGGCAACTCAACACCAGTCTGAGCTGCGGCCAAATTCTCATCTGGAGTCGTGGAGTGAAAAGGATAACTCTGCTCCCTTAACCAGAGCCACCTCCCTTCCCCAACCCAGACCTAAGGGTGAGGTCTCCTGTGAAGTCTTCACAGCTGGCCACCTTTGCTGCCTGCCTCTGGGCCCCCCCACTCAGTGGCCCAATTTACACTGAGTCCCCACTTCCACACCTGAAGGGCGCTCCGAGAAGAGGGGTTTATTTTCTTCATTTGAGTATCCCTAGTATGGGCAGGCAGTGAGCACTTGAAGACACTTTCTGAATTGCTACTAGCCAGCTGGCAGTGTATGTGGACGGATGGCAAGGGAAGAGGAGCTGGGGACATCGGTCACCTCCATCACCCAGGCAGATGTTAACGTAAACCAGAGGCACCCCCAGGAAGACAGGCATGATGTGTGTATGGCTTTACCCCTCAGAGTCCAGTGACCTGATGGGTAAAACTGGGAACCAGGAGCCAGAACAGGACATCTCACCTCTGCACAGGTGTAGACATGTTTTCCAAAGAATTTAGTCACAGGAAGCCACAAATCCAGTGGCTCTGGTCCTCAGGAGTCCACGCAGTGCCCTCCTTCACAGGTGGCCCTTTTCCTGGCTTCTGTTCCTAACCGAGGCCACCCCAAAATCAGTCACCCTGACACCCAGACAATATCCAGGGTAGTGAGCAACTGGCCCTACTTGGGGCATCCAGAGAAGCATCACCGGAGAGACTCCAGGCTGGGAACAGGCCCACAGCCGTGGCCACCAGGGAGCCGCGGGGAAGGAGGTGGCGCACTCTGTGCAGACGGCAAAGAGCTGGGCATCTGGGGCAGAAGGCGGGCCGGCCACCTCAGAGGGCCACACCCCACCGTGCTCTCCAGCCTGCCTTTACCCTTGGAGGCCTGACAGCACCCGCAGAAGACAGCTCTGGACACTTCTGCCTTTATGGACCTCTTCCTCCATAAAACAAAAATTAAGAATCATAGTTTTTGGCTGCCCTGGTATAAAAATGAATGTATTTGTGTGCATACTACAACAGTTTCTTCGACTTAAAAATTTGTTTTTCCTTTCCCTGGTGATTTTAAACTAAAACACTTTTCACAGGCCACTAAAACCATGGTGGACCTCCGGCACCAGGGCGCCTGTGCCTAATAAACCGGATCTGCCTTTGAAGATTTTATTTTCTTGTTCAATGGTGGGGGAGATAATAGCAGAAACAGGTAGACATAAAACTGTCTGGGACCATCTGGTGCCATGATTCTTGGTCTCCACCCCAAGCTTACTTATAAAAACACAAGCTCCAAGAGGAATTCCGAAAGCGTTTAACTGTCACATACGAGGGGCACTCCTAAGTGCCTGGCTCCCACACCGGCGACGCCGGCCGCCCGGCAGCGCAGGAGGCTTGCTTCCCGAGCGCGATGCTCGGCGGACTTAGTACCTCCTCGGGGCCGGTCTCTGGCCTGAGTACTTGTCAGGTGCCAATACCTGAGTGACAACGACATAGCTGCCACTTTCCAGCTGAGCAGTTTGTAGGCTGAGACGCTGGCACCAAGCCACTGCTGGGCGGAGACACGGGAAACCAGGTGCCTCCACGAGCTACTCTCTCGACCCCCAGCACCAGCCCGACGCCGGCCGCTGGGTCGGCAGGAAGGCGCGCGGCCCTCGGCCGCAGAATTCCCAGGCCCCAGAAGGGAGGTCGAGCCCTGCACATCACGCCCGCTCCGGTCAACCTCAAGGCTCGCAACGCTCCACGGGTGTGGGACCAAAGACAACATCCCTCCAGAGTTCCCTGACGTACGGGGCGCTCGGAGCCCAGGGTCACCCACGCCGCTGTCCCGGGCGGGGGCGCGGCGACCCGCCGCTGGCCTCGCTCTGCGCCCGCCCGCGACGGGGTCCGCCGGGAAGGGAGGCCCGGGACCGCCCGGGACCGCCCGGCCCGCGCGCCGCGGCCCCGCCCCCGGCCGGCCGCCCGCCCCGCCCCCACGCGCCGCGCCCGCCGCGCCGCGCACCTGGCCGCAGCGGCTCGGTGACGGTGAGCACGAGCAGGAAGAGCAGCAGGAAGGCACCGCTGTCTGCCTTGGGCACCATTTATCCTCCGTTCATCGTCCCCGGGGCGGCTGCGTGACCCCGCGGGGAGGCCGGACCGGGCCGGGCTAAGGGTCAGAGGGCCGCGCTGGGGCCGGCGCCGGGCGCGGAGAGGCGGAGGGAGAGGGCTCCGGCTGGGCCGCGGCTGGGCTGGGCTGCGCCGCGAGCTCGCACGCACTCTCGACCGCAGCCTCGAGCTCCAACTCAGGATCCCAGCAAGATGGCGGCCGTCCTGCTCGGTTCCGCGCCGCCCCGCCTCCCGCCCGCGGCGCCGCTGCCGGCCAATGAGTGCCTATGAGGGGGGCGGGGCCTGCGCGTTTCCAATGAGTGCGGGCCATTGGCAGGGCGGGGGCGGGGCATGGGCGGTAGTGCCCGAAAGGGGCGAGGCCTACGGTGGGGAAGGTGGGGAGCGGGAGCGGAGGGGCGGGCCCGGTGGGAGGGCGGGACTGTAGGAAATGAAGTGTACCATTGGCTGAGCAGAGAGGTGGGGCTCAGGGGCGGAGCCTTAGCGGTAGGGCCTCCGAAGGGCCTAGAATTTGAGGGCGCAGGGCAGGGACGGTGGGGGAGGAGCAGCGGGACCGAACGACGGACAAAGCGGGCACCGCGGACACAGCAAGGGGCGGGGCGCCGTGGGGAGCGGGGGCGTCGGGGGCGGCCGGGGAGGGAGCGCGAAGGCGGAGGGGCGGGCCACGGGGCAGCGGCGCGGGCGAAGCAGCGCCCGGGACCCGAAGGGCCCTCACACCCCGCGCACCTGCAGCCCAGGTCCGGGCAGCGGCCCCGGAACGCGCCCTAACGTGCTCTGCCGAGGAGGCGTGAGGAACATGGAGAGGCCCCCGCCTGTGTTTGAGGATCGGCCCTGTAAGGAACGAGGGAGTGTGGCTTCCCAGGCACACACGACGGAAAACGTGTCAAACATACGGAGAAGTAGCCCGGAGAGAGTCGGGGAAGCCCGGATCCCAGAGACTGGAGCGAAGGGGCCTCTGGAGAAAGGGCCCTGCCCGCGGCGGGGCGGGAGGGGAAGGCCCGCGGGGCCGAGCGGCTGCCGGGGACAGCGCCCCAGGGGCCGGCCTCGCACCTGCCGCCGGGAGCAGGGTGCCTGTGGGCACCTGCCGCGGGCACAGCAGACGGGCGGTCCTCAGCAGGAGAGGAGCCAGCTGTCTGCGGGAAGGACCGCCAGCCACGCCGCGAGGCCTGGCGCCGGGCTCCGGCTGCGGGAGGGCCGAAGCCTGGGCCCGTGAGGAACATGGAGAGGCCCCCGCCTGCCTTTGAGGATCAGCCCTGTAAGGACCGAGGGCGCGCATCTCCCCCGAGTGCATCCTCACGTGCTCTGTGAGGACCGGCCGCATGCGGCCGCCTGGACCCCGGGGGTGCCCGGCCACCTCCAGCCCCCCCACCTCGCTCCCTAGGGTCAGTCGCCCCAAATTCCCTTCAAGGCGTGATCCTCTTGAGCGTCCCAGAATTCCAGCCTGCGACCCTCAGGGGCACTTGAGAGAGGCCCCCAGTCCCTCTGGGCCAATATGGCCGAGGTCAAGCCCAAGACTAGACTAGGCCGGGCCAGCCTGCCCCTGCCTCCTCAGGGCATGGCCTGGAGCGGGCGCTAAGCAAAGGGCCTGTCATAGTAGAGGAGCCCTGCCCTGCACAGCCCCCCTGCTTTGCACCATCCCCAGGAAGCATTCCTAAGAGCGGCCGCTGCGCCCAGGACCCAGGGCTGGCCTGCCCCCCATCCGCAGATCTGCCTGTGAGCCCGTTCAGGGGAGAACTTTCAGCCAAGAGCAGAAATCCCTGCCGGTGGTCCCCCTGCAGAACCACTGTTGGAGGGCTGGGCCAGCAGATGTTTGGGGGAGAGAAGTACAGGGAGGTGAAACACCCAGCCCATCGGAGGGCAGAGCCCCGGCTTCCCGAGCTTCAGTCACCGCGGGGCCAGGCGGCCTTGTCCCCTGATCCATCTCCACCCTTCACAGCCTTGCTGGCCGCCCCATGCTGCCCGTGTGGACACTGTCCGGGGCTGGAGGGAGGGAGAAGAGGTCGGGGCACCCTCCCCAGCTCCTTCCCTGTGGGGTCACCGCAGCCTCCACCAAGGGCCACTGCCTTTCTCCAGGCAGCCCTCTCTACACACTTTCCCCAGGCTCCACTGACCATCCCTCCCTTCTTCAGGAGTCTGTTATCACTGGGGCTCCCTACACTCTGCTCCCACCTTGTAAGTCATCCCTTATTATGCCCTCCTCAGAGTGCCTGAACCTGAGTGTATCTTCAAGGTGAGGACCGGGACGCATGTGACCACCTGCCCTGGACTTCCTGGGATGCCCGGCTTGACCCATAAGCCGTCCTGGCTCCAGGTGGGGAAGTCTGGGCAGACCGACGTGCTCCCCGCAGCCTCTTCTTCCCTCAGGGCCCATCCACGCACAAGGCCACCCTGCTGCCCTTTGGTCTGCTCCAGCCCGCTGGCCAGACTTGCAGGGTCCGAGTCCAGGTGGCTCAGGTCAGAGCCTCATTCCCCGAGGGCACCCCTCCATTATGACTTCACCGACTGAAGTTGCCCCGGAGACAATGCTGGGCGTTCCACCCCAGAGTCTTCGCTTCTGAGAGGCAGGGGTGGCAGGCCAGCCAGCCCAGGGTATCCTCTGTCTGTGGGATAACTGAGGACGCTGCTGGCCCCTGTCCTGCGGGGGTGCAGAGGGCAGCCTCAGAGGCCCTGGGTGCTCCCGGTGCCATGGACGACGCTGGCGTCCTCAGGCGACGAGGCTACACCATGGGGACACATTTGGGAGAGGGCTCGTACGCAAAGGTCAAATCCGCCTACTCTGAGCGCCTGAAGTCCAACGTGGCGGTCAAGATCATCGACCGCAAGAAAGCCCCCACGGACTTCTTGGAGAAGTTCCTTCCCCGGGAAATCGAGATTCTGGCCATGCTGAACCACCGTTACATTATCAAGACCTACGAGATCTTTGAGACGTCAGACGGCAAGGTCTACATCGTCATGGAGCTCGGGGTCCAGGGCGACCTCCTTGAGTTCATCAGAACCTGGGGGGCCCTGCACGAGGATGATGCTCGCAAGAAGTTCCACCAACTCTCCTCAGCCATTAAGTACTGCCACGACCTGGACATCGTCCACCGAGACCTCAAGTGCGAGAACCTTCTCCTCGACAAGGACTTCAACATCAAGCTGTCCGACTTCGGCTTCTCCAAGCGCTGCCTGCGGGATGACAGTGGCCGACTGACGCTGAGTAAGACCTTCTGTGGGTCGGCGGCGTACGCAGCCCCCGAGGTGCTGCAGGGCGTCCCCTACCAGCCCAAGGTGTACGACATCTGGAGCCTGGGCGTGATCCTCTACATCATGGTCTGCGGCTCCATGCCCTACGACGACTCCAACATCAAGAGGATGCTGCGCACCCAGAAGGAGCACCGGGTCAAGTTCCCCCGCTCCAAGCACTTAACGGGTGAGTGCAAGGACCTCATCTGCCGCATGCTGCAGCCGGACGTCAACCGGCGGCTGCACATTGACGAGATCCTCAGCCACTGCTGGGTGCGGCCCATGGCACGGGGCCTGTCCTCTGCAGCCATCAGCAAGGGTGGGGAGAGTTCCCAGGGCACCGAGCCTTCGTGCAACCCCGAGCCCAGCTCTGACGAGAGGTCTGCCACCAAGCTGGAGCCCCTGGAGGAGGCGCATCCCGAGGCCCTGCCCAAGACACAGGCCGAGGAGAAGGTACTGCAAGCACAGGTGTCGAGGCAGTTAGAGCCCCTGGGCCTCGATGGCAGTGAGCAGCTGAGCAGGGAGGCAGAGGGTGAGGTCCCCGTGGGGCCTTCCGAGGCGCACACCTAGGAAGCCTCCTGCAGCCCAGGGGGCCGGCGGGGAAAGAGGCAGAGCTCATGGCTTCGCGCCTGAGCGCTGGAATTCAAGGGATGAGCCAGAGAAGGAAGACTGTCCTGGATGAGCCGCTATTTTCGTCAGTTTCTCCTCCCTCCCTTTGAACTTGGTAAACCCATGGTAACGTGGCTAAAGAAGCAATAAATCACTATATTAGTGCAGACCTCAAGGGGAATGCTGCTCTGCTGACTGAGGGTGTCCAGGGAGAGGTCATGCACTCTCCCCTTTGCGCTCCGCCCCCAGAACTTCCCCTCCTCCTGGGGAAATACATCCCCCACTGCGCCTCGGGCCCCAGACCAGAGCAGAGACCTGAGTGCGGAGGACGCCGCTTCAGGAGGGAGGCCTGGGAGTGTGGCGCTGGGGCCGCGGGCTGCGGAGGACGGTGGGAGACGGGCGAGGTGGCAGCCCGCAGAGGATGGAGAGGGGCCACCTCAGCGGGAATCGGCTCTGTCTGCAGCGGCCACAGAGTCTGGGCCCTCAACACCCCAGGGCCACCCACCCCACAGGCTGCCTGCTCACCAACTCCCTACCCTGACAGGCAACATGTTTTTTCTGCTCTGTCCACCAGGAGTTCCCCCGTGTCCAGCCAGTACCCACTGCTCCATGGTGCTGAGTCATCCTACCCTGTGGTCGCTTGCCAGTCCCAGGGGAGGCTGGGGCTGCGCTGGGCGCCTGGTCACACCTCAGCCTGTGTGTCTCTTCACTCGACCACGTCCCATTCTCCTCTAGTCCATCTTTCCCCAGGGTGACACTGCGCCAGGGCTGACACTGGCAAGCGGGAGCAGAGGAATGGGTGGGGGTCCTCGTGATGCGCGCCCGGCCCCTGCAGCCATCTAGGTCCCGCGGAGGGAGAAGGCCGTGTGCCGTGTCACTAGCCCCCGTGTCATTTCTCAGGCCGTCCTGGATTCAGCCCGGCAGCTCCCTCCTCTCCCTGCTCTGCACTCACTCGGGACAACCCCACGGGGACCTGGACTGGACACACGAAGAGGACAAGAGCCTACAGACGCACCTCTCCCCTTGCCCACGTCGGTGTTGGGAAGACCCCAACCCCAGGTCCCTGAAAGTGAGGTTCAGTGACCTGCCCTTTGCACCCTCCCCACCAATTCACTGCTCTGCCCAGCTCTACTCCCTCTGTGTTCCTGTGTGTCACGGCTCAGCCTTCACCAAGGCCTCCATCTCTGCCCCCCATTGCCTCCCGAGCACCAGAGCTCCCATCATGCACCAGGCCAGCTCCCACTGTGGGAAGGATCCCAGTGCCTGGCTTTGGAGGTCCTCCGGCCCCTCCATTATCCCTGTACCCCCACACGTACGTGCCTTAGCCCTGCTTGTGGACACATCCCTGTAGACCTTGCCCATCTCTCCAGGCTCAGCAAGGCGCCATGGCCTCCACAGAGCCTTCCAGGGGCCCCTAACAGGGCCGCTGTGAGCTCTGCCAGGATGGGCCAGAGTCCCCAGGGTCTGGGTGCAGAACAGGCCCTGAGTAACACTGCAAGAGGCACCCAGTTTCTCCTGGAGGCTCTGGAGCCCAGTCATGCAGCTCATCTGCTGGTGGAGCAGATTCCAGAGCACCTGGGGCTGGCTGGGGGTTGGGGGGCTCCTGGAGAGGCTCGTGAACCTCCCCTGGGTCATCTCTGGGGCCTGATGTGGTCACTGGGGCAGGGGGCAGTATGTGGGGAGAGGGCCTGGGAGTGACTCACTGCAGCCCAGCCAGGATTCAAGCCTCGGTGGGAGGGGGCCATGGGAAGGAGCAACAGTGGTGTGCTTTGCAGGGGAGGAGACAGCTCAGAGAGGGTGCAAAACTGCCTGGAATAACACAGCACAGAGCAGTGGCTCAGCTGTGAAGCCCAGTCCTGCCCAGGTGGCCTCACGCTAGGCCATCCTGAGCTGCGTGACTTACTGGGCTCAGCCCTCCAACGACCTACTGAAGCTTTAGGATCAAGACGCTCACTACAGCCTCCGTGGCCCACAGTGGTCCCTCCTACACTGCACACATTTGTCACGCCGGGTCCTTGCAGGCCATCACATGCATGAGCTCTCCTTGTCCTCCCCCGCTGGGCTGACTCCTCAGACCCCTGCCTCCTGTCGTCCGTCCTCTCAGCCCCGTGTTCCTCTGTGTTGCAGCGCAGCACCGGCTGTATACAGGGGCATGCACGCCACCAGTGTGACGCTGAGCCCCCAGGAAGGCACCCCAGCACCTGGGACGGACCCTCAAATGCCTATAGGTAAATGGGTGCCCACTTCCCAGAGGAAGCTGAAGCTCAGACAGTGGCCTTCCCAGTCTGAAAGCCTCCCACCCACAGGACTGCAGGTTGGGGGCCCCAGGTCCAATCTAAGGCTCCCCACTCCAGGAGTGCCCCCCTCAGTGTTCACATCCTGGCCAGAGCTGCCTGCTCCAAGCTCCCCAGCATCACTTGTGCAGTGCTGAGATCTGCCTCCTCCAGGCTGTGTCCCCAGAGGACCAAAGAGACCAACTGTCCTGGGCAAGGGCAGGGTGTGGGGAGCAGAACACACAAAAAGGGAAAAGCGGTTGGCAGAGTCAGCTGAGAGAGCAGCCATGCAAGCAGCGCCCCACTGAGCATTTGTGGGAGCAGCAGGAAGGCAGGGAAGGTGCCATGCTCCTGGGTCCTGTCCCAGAAATCCTTAGAGCCGGCCCCTTCTGGGATGCAAGGGAGTGAAGTTCTGGTTGTTTCTAAGACCCCCAGGAGAAAGGCAGGCATCGAGCTCAGGTGACTAGGGATGGAAGCTCTGCAGAGCTAAGAGCAGGACTGGGCAGGGCTGTGGCTACTGGACGGCCCTCCCTGGACCCCCTGCTCCTCACTCCCACCTGGTGTCCAGACTCTGGCTGCCCTACCCCCGACACCTTCCACACAACTTCCAGGCACAGGGAGGCATCCTGCACTCCGCAGGTGTGTCCACGTGACTGTGCTTCAGCCACGTCACAGCCTGGCACGTCCTGCCCCGTTGACCTGGTGGGTCCTATGGATCCTCTGCATGGCAGCCCGCAAGCACGCACACAGAGGCAGGCCTTCCTCCCGCCCCGCCTCCTACCCTCCCCCAAACAGCCCGTGCTAGCATCTTGTTGTGTGTGGGCACAGGATGCCCATGGCAAAGGACGTGGATGGCAGGGCTTCCGAAGTCCCTAAGGAGACACACACAGGCAGCCACGTTCCAAAGCAGAAACATAGGGTTTTTATGTTGCTTCCAGGTGCAAAAGGCCGTCTGAGATGCAAACGGGCATGCTCTCCCAGGGTTCCAGCAGGCTGTACAACACCCCTGCCTCACAGAGGTCCACGTGACAGAATTCAGGCCCCCCTCCTCCCCTAGGTGCTGGCTCTGAACAGCCGATGCTCTGGGCGCAGCCAGCCCCAGGGCCCCCCACACAAGGCCCCACCACACGCCCGCCCCCTCGCGGGCACACACCAGACCCTCCTGTCCTCCTCTGCTCCCTCGGGGCCGTCCTGCTCCCCACAAAGCCCATTTCCTAAGAGCTGTGCCAGGGACCGTCTGAAAACACGGCTTGGATCATGTTGCTTCTGCCCTGGGCCCCACTTACCTTCCCCTCCACCTCCCTCCTGACTGTGGGGCTCCACGGTCTCAAAATAAGCCCCCTCCTCTCCCAAGCTCTTCCCTGTCCAAATGCCTCAGCACCTCCTCCAAGTGACCAGAGCCCAGCCCACCGCCAGGCTGCCCAGCCCCAGAATACACCATCTGCCAGCCCAGGGCCTGGGGCCGCTTGGCTGGGCAGGCCCAGTACCCCAGCCCTGCCTGCCCTCCCGCCCCACACCTGCCCAGCTCTCTCCCCCAAACAGGAGGAGCCCTTACCCCCCGGGCAGGGAACCACCAGTCCGGCTGGAACAGGGCCAGACCAGGGCAGGCCTTCTGGGGCACTGCTGCTCCTGAGGTCATGAGCCCTCGAGGGGGTTTCTTCGTGCCCCCAAAGAAGCTGCAGGAAATAGGCCCTGGTGGGATATTGACCCCATGCCCCAGGCAGGGAAACAGGCGTGGGGCTGGCACTCTGCCCAGACCTGCGTGGCTCCTGGACAGGGAAGCCTCGGCGAGGAGCAGCACGGTTACCACACCCCTGGGTGCCGGCTTCTTTCTGGGACGCGGGGAGCAGGTGCTCCTGCCGGGACAGCCTGACTTCCAGGGGCCCATCTTGGCAGCCTGGCTTTATGACTTCACATGCTGAAGTCACCCTGGGACAATGCTGAGTGCCGCACCCCTCCAAGGCCCAGCCCAACCAGACGGCTCCCCGCAATGCCGATGCGGACAATGCCTGCTGGCCCGCGTGGGGAGATGTAGATGGCAGCGATGCCAGCCGCTCCTGGCACCATGGACGATGCCACAGTCCTAAAGAAGAAGGGTTACATCATGGGCATCAATCTTGGCAAGGGCTCCTATGCAAAAGTCAAATCCGCCTACTCCGAGCGCCTCAAGTTCAACGTGGCGGTCAAGATCATTGACCGCAAGAAAACGCCCTCTGACTTTGTGGAGAGATTCCTTCCTCGGGAGATGGACATCCTGGCAACCATCAACCACCGTTCCATCATCAAGACCTATGAGATCTTTGAGACCTCTGATGGGCGTGTCTACATCGTCATGGAGCTCGGGGTCCAGGGCGACCTCCTTGAGTTCATCAAGTGTCGGGGGCCCCTGCACGAGGACGTGGCTCGCAAGATGTTCCGCCAACTCTCCTCAGCCATTAAGTACTGCCACGACCTGGACATCGTCCACCGAGACCTCAAGTGCGAGAACCTTCTCCTCGACAAGGACTTCAACATCAAGCTGTCCGACTTCGGCTTCTCCAAGCGCTGCCTGCGGGATGACAGTGGCCGACTGACGCTGAGTAAGACCTTCTGTGGGTCGGCGGCGTACGCAGCCCCCGAGGTGCTGCAGGGCGTCCCCTACCAGCCCAAGGTGTACGACATCTGGAGCCTGGGCGTGATCCTCTACATCATGGTCTGCGGCTCCATGCCCTACGACGACTCCAACATCAAGAGGATGCTGCGCACCCAGAAGGAGCACCGGGTGGACTTCCCCGGCTCCAAGCACTTAACGGGTGAGTGCAAGGACCTCATCTGCCGCATGCTGCAGCCGGACGTCAACCGGCGGCTGCACATTGACGAGATCCTCAGCCACTGCTGGGTGCGGCTCCCCAAGCCCAAAGCCAGGTCTTCTGCCTCCTTCAAGAGGGAGGGTGAGCGCAAGTACCAGGCCGGGTGCAAACTGGACACCGAGCCAGGCTCGAGGCCCGACCACCGGCCTGACCACAAGCTGGCGGTCAAAAACCAGCACCCGCTGCCGGTGCCCAAGAACGAGGACAGGCTGGAGGATGAGCTGGCCAAGACCTCCAAGGGGAAAGACCACATCCCCGGAGCCGAGGTGGGGAAAGCGAGCAGCTAGTGGTGCGGAGGCCCCGGGGGCGTGCCTTCTCGTGAGCTGAGTGGGCAGGTAGGAGCTGAAGAAGGCACAGGTGCCTGGAACAAGTAAAGTCTGTCAATTAAACCACTATTTTGATTACGTTCTATTAGCTTTCTTCCACTTAGTAGCAAAGACATTAATTACCATCAAATAAACCACAAAGTGTATACAAGCACCAAGAGCACCCCGTGCGGAGTCTTTTTCTGTAGGACTCAGCCAGCTGCCCTCCCTGCGGTGCGGCACGGGGGTCTCCAGCACAGGGCTCCTGGGGCCAGTGCTCAGGCACAGGGACACAGGGAGGCCTTGTGGGCAGAGGGTAGGCTGGCGCCCATCCCCCCAGGTCTCCTGGTCTCGGGCCCTGCCCGGGGCCCGGAGCCTTGAGCACTCCCGCCTCAGGGCAGTGCGGCCCACCCCAAGCCCGCCCCACGCTCTCAACAGCCTCCTTCTCAGTGTGCTCCTCTCCCTCCATTCCTGGGGGTGAGATCGGTGACTGTGGCCCCTTGAGTGCCCCCCATGCCCCAGGGCAGCCCCAGCAGAGACCCCTCACCTGCACCCCAGCCTTTCCCACACAGCAGCCTCACTGTACTGTCGCCCATCACTTCCTAGGCACACATCCCATGCACCAGCCAAGCGCATGTGGTGGTCAGCGCCTGGCCGAAGATGGCCTTGTCTGGACACCACCCCCCTCTGCCCTCACATACACCCACTCAGCCCTCTGCCTCCGTGCTCCCTGGGGACCCCTCAGACGAGTTCACCTCTCTGTATGGGGAACAGCACCAAAAGCCAGTTTCCTGACCCTGGGTAGTGCCAGGCCCCTGATGGGTCACAGGGCACAGCCAGGGCTCAGCCCCCGGGAACTTGCAGGAACTCACTGTCCAGGGGCACAGGCTAGACGGTGCACAGACAAGAAGCAGGCCCTGCACCACCTCCAGAGACAACGGGTGCTCACAGAGGGTGCCCGAGGACAGCCCAAGGTGACGGCCTGGCGTCAGGTGGGTGAGCTCCAAGCAGGGAGACCAGTCTGAGCAGGTCCCAGGCCCCCCCGCTGAGCGGCACGCGGCCCTCTGAGGTACACCCTGACCCTACCCTGACCCCACTGGGGCCGTGAAGAGGCCCATCTGGGAAGCCCTGGCCCCACCTCCAGGTGGGGCAGCTGGTCCCGGGCCCCCAGGGCAGCACCAGCCCGTGTGGAGCCCAGCCCACCACCTTGGACACTGTGGCCCAGGTCCTGGGGGCCTGTGGCTCCCGCTGCTGGGCATGACGATGAGGTGGGGCAGGCGACTCGGCAGCACTGGAGGCTGGTGCCCGGAGCACGGGGAGAAGGGCTGGTGGATGGAGACACCCTGCCACCCTCCCAACCTGCAGCCAGGTGCCTGGAGGTGATGGGGGGCCACGGGGAAGGCACCTCATGTGGGGGTGTGGCCTGCATAGAGACCTGGGCAGCCCCATACAGCTGGCAAAACAGCTGGCTAGGGAGGCCACAGGCCTGAGCCCAGGGGCACAACCTCCAGGGGCTTCACCCCTGCCCCACGTGGACAGGCTGCGGGGGGGAACCAGTGAGCTATGAGCTCAGCTCGGAAGGCTGGTTCCAAGCCCCCACCGTGCCACAGAGCGCAGTGCAGGTCACAGTGGAAAAGCCAGGCCAACCGGCTTTCAAGGGCCACTGCGGCCAGCAGCTCCTCCTGGGAAGCCCGCCGTCCTGACACCCCGGGGCAGGCATGCAGGCAGCCTCAGGGCCATGGGCAGCAGGATGGGGAGGGTCCAGCTCTCTAATGTGCCAGGCGCTCTTTAATGAAAGTCAAGGGGAAACAGGCGGGGTTGGTAGGGATCAGTATCACCAAGGCGCCGGGGTGCACCTCCAGGGCTGTGGGGCGAGGCCTGCGCCAGCCCGGCTGCGGCACAGCACCTTTCTTCTGGGGCTCCCGGGACAGTCACCGCTTTTGGCCCGGGCCTGGGTCCCCAGAAGGCTGGAGTCCTCTGCTGGGTGGGCAGCTGCCCTGCAGGCTCCGCAAAGCTTCCACAGGCCCAGCCCGGGCCCGGCCCTAGAAGAAGTCGGAGGCTTTGCGCCGGGCAGGGAGCTGCAGAAGGTCATCCGTGATGGAGGCTGGGTCCTGGCTGAGGGGTGTGCGGGTGGCAGAACCGGGGGCCGGTGTGCTTGTGGGCGTGTGAGGCCCACCGGCTGGGGTCTTGAGGTGAGTGGAGCGCGCTGGGGATGGTGTGTAGCTGGCCCGCAGGGCTCGGTCTGTGTACTTGCTGGCCGTCCTGCTCACGAGGCGCTGCAGGGCTGGGGACATGGCTGGGCTCAGGCCTTTGGGGCTGAGGCTGGAGTGGAAAAGACAGAATTAGGCCCAGCTGGGCCTCCCATGACACCCCAAGGAAGACATGCGAGAAATGCAGGGTCACTCAGCGCTGAGGACACCAGATGGTCTGGCACACAGCAGTGAGGCCCAACTTGAGGTCAGATGAGGGTGCAGCTTTTTGCTGGGGGGTCAGGATGGAGACAGGAAAGACAGTGAGAAGCCTTGTTCCTGGTCACAAGGGCCACGCACCATGCCACAGGAGCTGCTATGGGCCCACCACGGAACCTGGGTCTGCCCTGCAGACCGCGCATCCACACTGAGTCCCCCCTACTCAGGACGGCACCCCTCACCTGGCTAGGTTCTCTGTCACTTTCCGCAGGGCCTCCTGCTTCTTGGCCCGGTTCTTGGCGGCGGCCTCATTGGCCATCTTCAGCCCCAGCCGCTCCCTGCGGCCTGGCTCCAGGATCTACAAGCAGCGAGCAGGTGGGGGGCCTGCACTGGCCTGTTACTCAGCCAGGCAGTCCCTCACTGCTGGGGCACCTGCCTCTCCCCACGGCCCCCCACAACGCACCGCTGCCCCCCTACCAGCCCGCAAAGTCACCAACCAGCCCGCAAAGTCGCCAACCAGCCTGCCTGAGCTGCCTACCAGTCAAGGGCCGGGCAATGCCCGCCTGTCCTCATGGTTCTCTGAAAACCAGCACTGCCAATGTGTGAATGAACCTCTGACAATCTTTTAGAAAAGAGAAGGTCTTATTTTAATCTGCTTCCTTCCAATTACTAGAGCAAACAGCTGTCTTTATCTGTATTTCTTCCAAGAACTTCCCCAAATTTATCCTTGCCAATTTTTCTATCCAGGGGCTTCTCTCCTCCGCTTTTGTACGTAAGGAGCATCGCAGGCGTTGATTAGGGTCAGCTCCGCGGCCCGGGTCTCCCTGCGCCGTGCACCCACTTCCCTCCCAGCCCTGCTGTGCCCCGGGCCCCGCACGCGGCACAGTCCAGCCCTGTCACCTCCGTGCTTTCTTCCTTGGTTTCCAGGTTGACAAAATCGTTCCTGCCTTGAAGTCAGATAAAATACTGACAATTATTTTCTTCTAATTATGTTCATGGTTTTTATATTTAACTTTTCATCTTTCTCAAATGTATCCTGCTGTGCACGTAAAAGACCTGGACTATCTTATTTCCAATTTCCAAATACTCTACTGCTCAGCACAACCTGGTCTGTCTCCCCTGAAACACCCTAAATTCTGACTTGGATGGAGGTTTGCTCAGAACGTCTCCTCCTCCCACTGGCCTGCGGGCTTGGGCTGCGTCTACACCTCCCAGTAGCTTGGCACCTGCTGGCCGGGTTCCCCCGCAGCACTCCACGATCTCAGGTTTTCTTGGTCATCCTTGCATCCCAGACAGGTTTTTGAACCAAGGCTCAAGCTCCTCTGTACATGTTCTGTCTAGATGTGGGCTGCCCTCTGAACTACTTGGCGGGGGGAAGGAATGGCGCTACATGGGCAGGCCAAGGGGCCCAGCCAGCTCCCTCGGGGCCGCCAGCAGACGGGCGTTCTCCTGCAGAAGTCTGCAGCACAAGTCCGTGGTTTCCTTACAAGAGCCAGGCTATTCCCGGTCACTCTAGACTCCCGCTGCTATGCCGAGTGGCGTCCCTTCCGTTGCATCTCAAGCCGACCACTGTCAGTGTTTAGGAGTAGTTCCCAGTGACCTCTGACCCAGCTCCCTACACAGCCCGATAATAATTCCGGCTTCCATGCCTAATTCTGTGGGGTTTCAAAGCAGATGATGCAAGCCCACACCCTCTGGTCTCCGGGACACCACCAAGCCCCGCCTCCCATCCCCCCAGCACTCCACAGCGGGCACCAGCAACAGCCCAGCACCCCAACAACAGAACTGCATGCTCCCATCATTCGGACACCTTTCTTCTTTCCCCTCCAGTCAACTACACCAGTCACCCTGCCACACTGCGGATAGACCAGAGCACCCTGCCTTTCTAACCCCTCTCTGGGGCCCCTGCGCCTACCTACTCATCCACACCATCCTGAGACACCCCATCTTTGCAAACCAACCCCCACACTTCCCCGCTCTGCTGGCCCATGAAGAGCCTCCCTTGCCCGCTCCAAGCCTTGTGAACCACCCCCTCTGACCACTCCTGCAACACTGCATGTCCTGAATCGTGTCTCCTACACCCAGGGGCCTCTCTCTGCAAGCATACAGCCCTTCTGAGGACAAACCACATCCCATGGAACCCTGGGGTTCTGGGAACCCCCCCAGGGCCGCAGCAGTCAGAGCTCCTGGTCTGCCTCTGAGACCCCGTCTTTGAGCAGCCCCATCCTCCGGGCCTGCAGGCTCAGAGGCTCCGTGGCTGCTTCCTGCCTTGATGCCTCGGCCCCACCCCCCAAATCCCTCCTTGACAGACTCCCTGGTCCTGCTCAGAAGGGTGGGACCTGCGACATGCAGCCTGGCACTCAGCTTCGCCCGTCAGCCAGCTTGGCACTGAGCAGCTGCAGCCGGGCCGTCCTCTATGCACACAGCCACGGGTGCTCAGAATGTCATGCATCCACTTGGTCCTGCCCGCGTCACCTCAGCACAGCCCACCTTGAAGGCTGGCCCCGGCGTCCGGTCCACGTAGGGGGTTTCAGATCCTTCCACTCTCAAGGGCGTGTTCTCGACCTCTCCCCAGGTCATCAGTGGGGACTCGTCCACACCTGCAGACCGAGAGCCCACAGCCACCTCACACCAGGGGACCCGGGCGGTGGTACCACCACGGCCCACCCTCCACCACGATTCCCCATGCGCATCCCCACGAACAGACACCAGGGCCGGCAGCTCCCAGGCCTCCAGAACCCTGGCATCTCTGCCCTCTGACGGGGCAACACCAAGGCCACTGTGGGCCTGAGGCAGGCCCAGGCCCCCGTAGGTGACTATACCAGTCACCCTGCCACACTGTGGACAGACCACGCAAGGTGTGGCCTGGAGGGGGCGCTCCCTGGGGAAGCCTGGCTGGGTCAGCTGGGCCTCCATCCTAGCACATGGCCAGGGAAGCCTAGAGGTTGCTGGCAGCACCCCCTCTGAGGAGAAACCTGGGGGCTTCCAGAGTTCCTAGACCTCCCAGGGCCCTGGGCAAGCCTGCGGCACCCCTACATGCCCTGGCCTGTAACATAGCACCCAGCACTCCAGGGCAGAGGCCAGTGTGCAGGAGGGCAGAGGAACACTACACGTACCACGCGACTGTCCCGGGCTTCACGCTCCCCTGCAGAGCTCTCTGGATTTAGGTGTATAAGTATGGTGTGCCTCGACGTGAGACCCAGAACTAGGATATGTTACCCCGGGAACGACTGGGACACCCACGCCCAGGCCAGGGTAAGGCGAGGCAGCCTAAGGGAGGGGAGCCCCCTGCCCTGCAGCGCCCCTCAGGCCCACCGTGCCCGGCCCCGCGAGGCCCCGGAGGCACCCAGGCCCCCAGACAGCAGCTCAGCTCCATGCAAGTCTCCCACATGAGAAGATGCCCGCCTGACAGCTCGTTCAACTACTGCCCTCGCTGTTGTTCGGACCCCAGGCCCGGCCTCCTGCTGCCCCTTGGCGCGCTCACCATGAGCGGTCTGCCCAGCAGAGCCCCAGCATGCCCACTTCCCAGCAAACCCAGCCCGCCCACAGCCCCGCTGGGCCCTGCTGTTGCAGACGGGATGCCGAGTCCCTGGGTCACCTGGTGCGGGGCAGACTCAGGAAGGCCCCAGGAGTGGCTGGGCCACCAGAGCCACCCACCTCCCCCCAGAGCCCCATCAGTGGGCAGCCTGCTGGCAGGTGCATCTCTCACCAGGGGCAGGAGAGGGGGTGGCAACGAATCCGAATCCGCCCACTCTGGGGGACTCCTGGGGGATGAGCTCCTTGCCGTCAGGGCCCACCTTGCCCTGTTTGTGCTGGAGGGAGCAGAGAGGGTGGTGTCAGGGGGCCCTGAGCCTCAGGTCGCACTCCACAGAGGCTGCCATGAGGGTACCAGAGCAGCCTCCCAACAGCCACCGGGCTCAGCAGGGCAGTGACCACAGGCCCAGGCACCTCTGCTGTGTGCTGGGCCCCGCCCCACCCTGCCCATCCAGGCCACCCCAGCCCTGCCTGGCACATGGTTGTGGGTCTGAGCAGACTGGGCCGGCTCCCAGCAGTTGCTCACCCCCCACGCCCTGGCCCACCCCCCGGGAGCTGGCGCAGACCTGACTCATGGATGCATCGGCTCAAGACCAAATGGCCAACAAAAGCCACGGGGGTCGAGACTCAGGACCCTGCCACAAAGGGGCCCCCAAAGCCCCCACAGTACCAAGCTCCACCAAGGACAGTCCTAAAGGGGGGCAGCCCAGATCAGCAGGTGGTGCCTGCCCACAGCCAGCCCATGCCAGCCCCTGCCATTCACCTGGGCATTGAGGGCAGCTGCCTGCTGCAGCTGGGACCTGCTCAGGGCCTGGCTGAATGGATCCGTGAGGAAGCGAGTGTTCTTATGCACCACCTGCCGGGACTTCTTAAATAACTGCTCTTCATCAGGGACACCTGGCAGACCAATCAGCAGTGGTAACAGGTATCAGAGGAGTGGGCAGGCCCCACATCTGCTCCACGCTCAGGGCCTGAGGGAGAGGCCAGGTCACACCCCACAGAACAGAAGCGGAGCCTAGCTCAGTCTCCACGCTGCGGAGTATGAACAACACTGTGGAGGGCTTTGCTCTCTTGCTAGCATCACAGATGGACCCACCTGCCCAGAGACAGACGAGGACCCCTCTGAGGCCTGGCCTGCGAGCGAGCACAGACAGGCACACCTGGCAGGGCCAGGGCACAACATGCAGCTCCACCCCACGCTGGGCAGTACACGAGGTAGTTCACGCCTGGCGCCGCCTGCTCACCCTTAGGGTAGTACAGGAGGGAGTTCACACCTGGCGCCGCGTGCTCACCTTCGGGGTAGTACATGAGGGAGTTCTTGGCCTTGTACTTCCAGGTCTCCACGCCAGCCTGGCTGCTCTCAATGGCTTGGTGCTCTGCTGATGGGAGTTCAAGATTATCCTTCTGCCTCTGCATCACAGAGGAAAAGTGAAGGTCAGGGAGGCCCCCAGATGCCGTGCCCCGGCCCTGGGACCCCCCTCACCCTGAGGGCGGGCGGCTCTGCCCTCGCACCCGGGGATACCTTCTCAAACTCCTCCTCGGCCTCGTACAGCCAGGTGTGGCGAGCCCGGCTTTTCTCCCTGGCCACCTCCATGATCTCCTGGAAGGACGCGTTGTCCTCACTTGTGTACCGGCTCAAGAAGGCATCCAGGCTGGGCAGGGGCTCCTTCTCCTCCTCCTCTCCAGCCTCTCCTGCTCAGGGGTGCAGGTGGGGTGACACAGAACCACAAATAGCAGTGACAGCATGCTGCAGACACAGTCCCAGCAACCCTGCTAGCTGACAAGCAGGGACGGGGCCTCACCATGGCTGCGGGTCTGCCGGTAAGAGCGCACGTGCCAGACAGCAAAGCGCCTGGGGGCAGAACTCAACCGGTCCAACCGCCTGGGGGGCCCTGGGCGCAACCCTCATCTGCGGGCTGCCAGCGAAGTGCACGATCTGACTCAGACCAGAAGGGATGCATCCGGGGGTTAGGGAAAAAGCAGGTGATCACAGTGGGTCAGCTCCCACTAAACCGGGCCAGTCCTGTAGGACCTGCCTCGGCGCCCCAGGCTCTCCCTTTGTCCCGGGGCTTCCCAGCCCTGACTGTTCCCCCGTCCTGCAGCTGCGCTACAGTGGGTGGCTGTCAGCTAAGCCTCCAGACATGCCAGTGGGCTCTGATGACATGCCTGCACGTCATCCAGTGCTCTGGACAGGGCCTCACAGGACCTGGGCATCAGGAGGGAGAGGTGCTACCCCGCCCCTCCCACCCTAGCAACAGCCCTGACACCCACTGCTCCTAGCCGGCACACAAAGCACAGCAGCAAAAAGCTCAAGACCCGGAGCCCGAAAGGTGAGGGCTCAAAGCCTGTCCCACCACCGAGCGAGCAGCTCTGAGGCGGGCGGGTCACCGCCTTCCGGAGCCTCTGCTTCCGCATCAAACTGAACAGTGGTGGCACCTTTGCTCAGAGTACTGAAAGGATGCCCGTGTTCACCAGCAAATAAGGCGCATTTAAAGGAAAAGAATCTGCAAACTGCGATTCGAGTGCCACGGTGCAATGGAGAAGCAAGCTCCAAGGACGCAACATGCTGGGCTGTGCTAATGGCACGTGTCTGTACACACACAGCGCATCTGCGTTGGTGAGGCACGCAAGCCCTAGTAGCAGCGTCCCGTCTGTCTGCACGGGCACAGACAATCCCCTACTGACAACACACCGACCCCCAAGGAGCTCCGCAGCACACAGCACACTCATGTCCCAGAGGGCTCGGGACGCCCTCTCCTCAAGTCGGGATGCCTCGTTCCACCCCAGTAACTGTGGAAGAAGACAGCTTATCCACCTGCTCTAGGGACCTTGGAGGAAAGCCCACTGCGTGCTGCGCACTGCATTTTGGGTGCAGAGCCCAGACGCCGGACAGAGACCCTGTTCTCGTGGAGGACGGAAACCATAAACACACCGAAGTTAAGTGTCATGTTCTGTGGTGAGAAAACAAAGCCAGGCAGGAAGGCACAGGGCATCAGGGGTGATGGGACATCACACTGGGAGGTCAGGAAAGGGGTCCCTGAACGGCAAGTATTGGAGCAGAGGCCTGAAGGAAGAGGAATGAGCCCTGCAGTTCCCCAGGGGAGATGACCACCTTGGAGGAAACAGTGCAGAGCCCTGGGGCACCTCAAGGAGACAGCGAGGAAAGGAGCCCCCTGAGGCCCACGAAGCCCACTGGGCAGCCCACGGGAGACACAGTGAGCAGGCCCTCAGAGAGGTGGCGAACTTCACAGGGGCGCGGAGAATTGCCCACATTTGGCAACTGGACCCCGATCTTCTGCCTCCTAGGCCTCTTCAGCCCCATGGGCTGCTGATTAGACAGGAAGGCCCCTCAGGGACAAGGTGTGATAGCTCCTGGACCGCCCCTTCAGGGTGTCACAGGCTGGGAGTCCAGGCAAACCCGACCCTGTGGCGGCAGCGGGGCGCTCACTCACCATCACCGTCCTCCACGCCTTGGCCCCGGCTTTGGGGCTTGCTGCCCACCACTCCGGCGCCTGTGTGCACCTCAGGGGTTTCAAAGGTGGCTGGAGTCACATCTAGGGGAAGGGGGGTGGGGATTACAGCAAGCCAGAGGCAACAATCTGGCAAATGTTCCCGTCTGTCAACCACAGAAGTCTTACAGGGCGGTGGGGGCTCTCGGGACACCTTGCCCAGGGCAGAGCCGAACTTGATGGCGATCTGGCGCATCCGCTCCAAGTCTCCATTCTCCTCGGCCTCCAAGTACTCCTTCTGGGCCTGCAGCTTCTCCACATCAGGAAAGAAGTCCCTCTGAATGACAGTCTGGAGGCCCTGTCACGACAAATTAGAGCAAAAGTCAGAGCTCACGTCTGCCTCTCCCCTGCCCCACAGCCGACCAGTGCACATGCTAAGGGCCTTGCCGACTGGCCCACCCCCGTCCAGCCCAATGACCCTTCGAGCTGAGGGGCGCTTTCTCACGAGGATGACCGTCCCATGTGGTCTTACCACAACACCTCACATTACTAAACACGCCTCTGATTTCCACGGAACCCTCCTCTCTCGCCTCACTACCCGTTCACGGGCGTTCTCCTTTGCTGGCTTCACCGCCACCTCCTCCCAATCTGAATCCTTTACCTGGATGACTTCAGCGAGTCATCCCACCACCCGCTCCACTTGAGATTCTCATCTCTGCATGTCAAGGCAAACCTCTCTCCTGAGCTGCACATTTGTGCACCCAGCTCTCCATTACGCCTCCTGCCTGTATATGCCCGAGGCATCCCAGATTTAACCAGGCTAAAACCAAACTGGTTTCGTCCAGCTGCTGTGCCAGCCCCCTCCTGCGTGTCTGCTGTAAGGTTAAGACCTGTTTCCAGGGCGGCTGGAGGCCCGCTCACTCAGTGACGCTGTCGCAATCGCAGCCTGCTTCCGGGACCCCCAGCCTTTGCACTTGCTCTCACCGTTCTCTATAAAGTCCCCTTTGCCGCGATTCTTTCAAACTCCTACTCACGCTTAACAGAAAACCTTGTTTTCCCTGATCCCGCCCCATACAGAGCCGCCCCCATTCCCTCTAACAACACTGCCAGTACCTCCCCGTCAGTGACACCTCCCGCTGCACGGTGCTGATTTGGCTCTCCGACCGTCCACACCTTAAGGGCAGGGACCCGGGCTGCTGCCCCCTCCCGCGAGGGGAACACTGCCAGGACCCGAGGGGGGCGCGCGCCGGGGCGGAACCCAGAAGTCGCCGGCGTCTGCACCGAGGTCTTACCTCGATGTATTCTTCCTCGTCCAGGACCCGTTGCTTGCTGGTCGTAGTCTCGGCCTCCCCCGCAGCGCGCTTCCTGCGGGGCCGCGACACGGCCGGGAGCAACAAGGCCCCCGCCGACGCACCCGGCGTCTCCATCCCTCTCCCAGGTTCGCTCTACTGGCGCAAGCGCGTAACTGTGCCCGGGCGGGTGCTGAATCGGCTGCGCAGGCGCCTGCTACAGTCCGCCAATGGGGAAGCTGTGCGTTTCGAAGGCCGACCCGCGCTCCGTAGTGACATCACCGCAAGCCCTTGTCCTCATGGGAGTTGTAGTCTTTATCTCACCTCGCTCTGGTCATGCGTATCTCGGCTGTGGGCAGCAGGGGGTGCTGTGGTGGAGGCTAGCGGACGTGTGGTTCACGCTAACCGTGAAAAATTCCAGCACTGAGGAATTGAAAAGCCTTGGAATTCCAATTCCTCGCAAATAATCACTGTTTCTATATTAACAAAAACACACTTTTTAGAAAATTTGGTTATATACGAGTTTCAAGGTTTTTATTCAACGTTTATATAAGAACCCTAAGACCATTCTTGATACCTAACAACAAAAAATACAATGGTTCAATGAAGGAATGTTTAGTCAAAAATTATTCGGTCCCTGAATGCCAGAGCAGACTACCCAGAAGAGGGCTAACTCTTATTGAAATGGACCAGAAAATTGCCTAGACATTTTTCAGGAATGGTCATTTCCTGAAAGGGGGTTGTGAATTACCTCAAACAAATTAGTTCTGCCCCAGAATGATTTAGTACAATAGGCAGTCATTCCCTCATTCACTGGGGACTCCGCGGTGGTGGTTCCTGTCCTCTTGGAGATGACCGTTGAATGGGGAAGACAGACACTAGTTAGATTATCCCACAAACAAGGCAAAACTGCAGTGAACAGGTACAAAAAAAGAGATTGCACCTGGGGACTCTTACCTAAGGGGCAGTCAGGGGAAGTTTGCCCCAGAATGAAGTGGTTGCAGACCCAAATGAACAGACATGGATCAGGCGGAGGGGAAAGAGTGCAGGCAAACGTTCAGCAGAAGGAGTGAGAAGACCTTTGGATCCACACAGGACGCAAGAAGCAGGGAGGTGTGAGATGCCGCCAGTGGGGCCGGGCCTACGGGGCCTCCTGGGTCATCCGGCAAGTCTTTACTCTGGGAGCAATAGGGAGCTCCTGGAGTGTTGCAGGCAGGGGAGAGGCAGGTTCTGACCTGCACCCCAGCTTTTAGGGAGAATGAATTAAAGAGAAGCAGAGTGGGTGCAGGCGGACAACACCAGAGGTGGCCGCAGTGGTCAAGGTGAGAGGTGATGGCCGTTTTCATCAGGTTGGTGCAGTTGAAGCTGGGGATGGATAGATTCTGAGATTGCTTTTGGAGGCAGAATCAACTTGCAGTTGGCCTGGGTACCGTGGGTGAGGGAACGAAGGCGGGGGTGTTGCCAGCACTCCGGCTCATGCACCTGATTTGCACAGGGGAGACTGCCGTGGACAAGGTGATTTTGAGGTGCCATGAGCTTCCAGATGGAGTAGCCGAGGGGACAGTTGGACATAAATATCCAGCTCAGGGGAGACGCCCGGCCTGGGGGTGTGAATCGGAGATGGGAATTCTCATAGAGGTGGGAATTGGAGCCTGAGGGCAGAAGGGGGAACCAGCGAGAGAATGGAGACGAGAGAGGCGAGTCTGGGGACTGGCCTCAAGGACACCTATGCTCACGGGCAGCTGTTGGACAGGACTCCCAAGGAGCAACTTGAGAGGAAAGAGAAAAATCAGGAGCAGAGCAGAGCCACTGGTGCCTTGCAGCTGGAGCTTTGATCATGGCTACCCTACAGGGTTACAAGGAGCCACTCAGCAAAGGAGGCCGAGGGTCCTGCAATTCAGCAGGATGAGGGTGCCCAGCCTGCTGGGGGGCTCTGCATGCAGCCTGTGCTGGGAGTAAGGCTGGGAGTCAGGGAACAGAGCTTTGTAACAGCCAGAAGTGTGCGGTGGTGGAACCCAGGGGCACCCAGCAGTTTAGGGCAGCCCTGGCTGGGAACAGCACAGTTGCTCACGTTATCTGAGTTGCTCAGCCTTGGAGAATCCCAGGTGCTGCAGTCCTGGCTTCTGCATCTTTCATGGATTGACTGTGTCTTCTTCCAGATACCCGTCCTTTCCCCCCAGGGCCTGTGAGGAGGTACAACAAGGCCCCCACACTGGATGACAGGGGTGTTAGGGGCCTTCAGCCACTGGACGAGCCTACTTGGGGAATGGAAGCCTTATTTCATGCTGTTCTTCCCCATGGAGCTAGGATGATGGAGGAGAAAGCAGGCTTTTTCCAAGGCGGTTGCGGAGGGCCTCCACAATTGAACCTCCTATCGTCCCAACAGGACGGCAGAGATGGACTGCGGTGAGGGAGGCTCAGTGCACAGCACGGACCCCCACCCAGCAGGTTGGCAGCACCTAGAGGCCAGTGCAGGCCGCCATCCGCGGGGGGCAGTCTGCTCTGCTGGGGGACACCCTGGCGCTGTGCTGCCTGGAGGAGCTGGCCTGCCACTCCCTGAGCAGGGAGGGGCAGGTCTGGCCGGCCGTGAGCAGAGCCATGGCGGACTTGGGACCCTGGACCGCTTTGTGCTGTTTGGGGTTGCTGGTTTATGTCCTAGTATCTGCACAGGCTCACAGGATTAAGATGCAGGGGAGGGGGCTTCTGGAAATGACCTCCCCCAGCAGCTTCTTCTACAGGTCTGGACAGCCAGTGAGGACCTGCCAGTGGCAACACCCCAGGGGTGCAGACACCACCCGGCCTGCCTCTGGAGGGTTGTAAGCCAGGTCAGGGGGACTATGTCCATGCTGAGGAGTGGAGGGAGGGCAGCATGCCCCTGCAGGGGCAGGATTCAGGGTCCCCCTGTTGACAAGGGATGGGGTGTCGCAGCCAGGGAACCTCCTTGGCCCTCCTGCCGGCTTGCCACTGGGGAGGAGAGCCCACGGAGATGCTCGGTGTTCCCTCTTTTCACCAGGCAGGGGGCGCAGGGACACACTCCACTCGCTCTCCCGCAACTGAGCAGCAGCTCCGGAACGCAGTGAGCGGCGCAGGCGGGAGGATGCGGGTGTCTTCGCTCGGCTTCTTCTCGGGTAGGTCTGTCCACTTTCTGCGCCAGCTCCAAAGGCTATACGGCCAAGCCCCGAAAGCTCCCAGAGCCATCAGCAGCTCTCCTTGGGGGGCTTCCTGGCTCCGGGCAGGAGCCCTGCAGACGCTGACGCGCGCTTCTGGTGTCGCCACTTGGCCCGGCGGTTCTTGAACCAAACCTTCAACCAGAGGAGCGGGAAGGACTGCTCAGTCCCAGGCCCCGGGCTCGCGTTTCGCCCGGGTGGCTCCCCGATGGGGGTGCGAGCGGACCAGGGCTGCGGACCCGGCATCGTCTCTTATCCGAGGCAGGCAGGGAAGGCGGCTTGAGCGGCGGGAAGGGAACGCACGCCCACCCGGACCGGCAGTCCCTCTGCACCCCTTCCCACTCCCACCCCCGCCTGGCGGCGACCAGGACGCCCCGTCTGCAGCTCTGTGCTCTTCTGAGCTTCCCAAATTCTGGAACATGGGTGTGCGCCCCATTTATAGTCAGGGGAACAAAAGTTTAAAGCTACCTTATGTCCTCTCCGGTTCCAGCGACACTTAACGGCGCGTGCCTGCCCCGCCCGCCGCTCGCCCCAGAACTGGCCCTGCGTGCCTC